AATAATAATAATAATGATAAAAAAAATACAAATGCATCAAGGTGGGCAGCAATAGAGGTCGGCAAGAAACCAAATTATTGAGAGATCAACATTTCCTAAGACTCTATATTCTAGTATTAATTTAAATAAATTACTATTAGATATATATATATATAAATATATAGTGTGTGTACACACACTATAACACTATAAGTAAATAATTGATAGCTTAAATATCCACCTGTGAAGTTTGCATCCTTTGTATTTGTTCTGCTTTCAGCCCGGTGATTGAACTTTATCCCGACGCCACACAGAAGGAAATGTAACTCAATTTGTGAGCAGCCAGAAGCCTTAAGGCGTTTTCTGCTAAACACTAAACAGATGCTTTGCTTGAGGAATTGGTTCCCACAGCCTGTGTGAAGTGCTTAAATATGTCACTGCCAAAGACGACTTAAATTATTCAATACAGCAGAAAAAGCGGCGCTGAAGTCTACTAAATAAGTATTTAAACTGAAAGAAGAAAACCCGTCTGTACTAAGAACTGTGATATGTGTTACAGAAACACACATATCGACTCACAAAAATGATTTAATTAACCCTTTAAAGCCTGATCCAAGAATAAAACAAAACAGAAAATTACTTTTTTTTTTTTTGTTTGAATTCCTTATTTGGCCTTTTAACTAAATATGTAAAAAGAAAAAACAGAAATACAATTTTAATATTAATAATTTATTACTATGCGATAAGTCCAGATTATTTTTTGTGTATCTTCTGCCCCCTGTTATCAGGTGTATCTGATTGTGTACAATAGGATTTTGAGCAAAGTTTTTACCATTAAATTATGCAAAAGGAGTCAGACGCAAAACATTTCAGAAACCGTACGACTCAAATATGATACATTTGGCATTACAGGGTTAGGAAGGGCAATGAAATTCAATCAATACAGCAGAAATAGCTGCATTTTAAGTCTAGTAAATAAGTATTTAAACTGAAAGAAGAAATCGGTGGAGAGAAAAAAACCCCGTTTGTGATATGTGTGTTCAGAGTAAACAGGAATTACAGGAACACATCATATCGACTCACAAAAATGATTTAATTAGTAATGAAATTCATGCACACGTGGAGACAAATTGGCTGTGAATTTGAATCCAGCAGGTGATTAAACTGTTTTTTCTCTTTTTACAGTTTAGTTCTTTGGTTATTTTTGGCTTTCTGTTGTGTAACACCTCTTTAAATCTCTACTCAGCTCGGGATATGACACTACTACATGTAATTAAAGAAGATTAATTC